ATTTTTTTAAATAGTCTCTGCCAAGTAGAGGTTGCCCTGGGAACTGCCTATCCCTGTTCAAAGCCAAGGTCTTGCCTAACACGAGCTTCCCTGTTTCTGCAGTGCGGAGCAAGCTCCCTTTGGTGGTCACTGTCAGTGGTTTCTTCCGCCTGTCTTGTCATCTGCAGGTTGGGGACTCTGTTTACCATGACAAGACAAAGGCGATTCCTGCTAGCAGAGTGGAGCCAGCGGTTTCTCCTTAATGAGTCTAGGAGCATTTTATTTTGCTGTGCCTTTGGTGATGATGTGAGAATCACTGATAAGTTGTCCCTCATTATCTAGGCCTTTCTCACCACTCTTCAAGGGAATACAGCCTCAGTTTGCATGGTTGCTTGGATGGTGTTTTCCTTGAAGGGTGAAGAACTACAGGCCCACCACCTTACAGGGTCTGCTGGGATTTAAACGGACATCTCTGAATCCCTGAAAACTGCTACTTAAGGGGAGCTAACAGCTGTTCTGGACTTCTGCTCCTTGCCTATATGAACCTTGCTTCTCAGTGGGCTTAGGGTTTCTTACAAGAAATGGAAAAGGCCTGCCCTATTTAAAACACAAATGCCAGGGGCGTTCTCTTCCCTGTGTGCTGACACGGAACCCTCATCACTGGAATCCACTTACAAAGGATTTCCTGTTTCAGGTTCCCCTGGCCCAGGGGCACCCAATAGGAAGGTCAAACCCTATGGATGCGTGAAGAATGCTGGGACCTGGTGGGAGCTAAAACTGGAGACAAGTGGGCCCTGAGAGGAATCGCCTCTGCTTTCCTGAGGACCTAAGTGAAGTTGAAACTTTGGGAGAGAATAGATGGTAACAGGGTTAATGTCTTTAGGCTGCTCCCCTGGCTGGATGCCCTGGTGCTGAGGGGCGAGCAGGTGCACTCTCCACATTCCACTCCCGTGCTGGAGCACAGGCCTAGATGACGAAAGCGAAGAGGATGTTTCAAAAAGTTCGTGGGAAGTCAAATCAAAAGAGAAGCTTATTTTGGTACAAAAAAATTTGAAATCCATGCATATAAGGGTCTTCAATGATTCATAGAAAATGCACATTATGTAAAAACTGCACAGATTTCAAAAAAAATTTTGTATCTAAATGAATTTGCCTTTTAATTCCATTTTTCCCATAAATTTTTGTAACATCAAAAATTTGTAGGGGTAAATATTACTATTCCAGGGCCAGCATTGTGGCATAGTGGGTAAAGCCACTTAAGGGTGCCAGTTGGAGTCCTGGCTACTCCACTTCCAATCCAGCTCCCTGCTAATGTGTGTGATAAGTCCACAGAAGATGAGCTCAGTGCTTGGGTCACTACCACCTATGTGGGAGACCTTATGAAGCTCCTGGCTTTGGTCTGACTCAGCCCTGGCTATTGTGGCCATTTGGGGAGTGAACCAGCAGGTGAAAGATATTCTCTCTCTCTCTCTCTCTCCTTCCCTCTCTGTAACTCTGCCTTTCAAATAAACAAGTAAATCTTTTTAAAAAACTACCATCCCATCCGTAGCTTATCTATAGACAGCCAACTAAGCCACTACAGAATGAAGGGTGACCCAGGCATCATTTACCATGATCTGGGTGTGGATAAGGGACTGACTGCAATCTTCCAAAAGTTCTCACTTCTTTTGGACACTAAATGACTTGGATACAACCAAGCAGTGCTTTGCTGTATTTCAGAAGATTACAAGAGATGCATGTATAAGATTACAGAGTGTACTATAATTGCTATCTTTCATTTAGCTACACATAATTGTTGTGATGAGATTAAAAGGAGCCACAAAAAATAAGGACTTTTAAGAGCTCAGACATGGCATTTTAAATTCTGTGAAGCTTGCCCCACAAAGAGTCATGGAGGAGGGGTGAAGTGTGCACACAGGGATGGCACTTAGACTCCTTCCCCTACACGCACCTGCCAAGATTCTGTTTATTTTTCTTCACCAAACCAAAATCCACTGTTCAGGAATTGTGAGCAATATCACATTTCCTTTGAGAGAGACAACAAACTTTCCTGATCTAACAGTTCAAAGCTGAGTTTCCGGTGGGACACGGTTACTTGTGGTTTTGCCACTCTGGACATCAAGGACATCAGCTCTTGGAGTTAGGGGGTCACTACACAGGCCAGACTTGGGGTTCTCTCCCACTGCCAGCTCAGTCTGCTATGGAAACTGCGGTGTTGAATGTGTCCTCGAAACACCATGTGTGGGAGACTGTGTCCCCACGTTCATCTGCGGATGGTGTTCACAGGTGGGCTCTTGGGGGTGATTGGTATGTGGAAGCCGGAAGTGGGGTCACCTGTGGATTCATGGGTTGAGCTTTCAAGGGAGTGGCTTTGTGAGCAAAGCAGCCGTGTCTGGCAGGTTCGCTCTGTCTTGCCAAGAGATGCTCTATGTCCCATCGGGGCCCAGCAGGTCAGCCTCACATGCAGCCCAGCACATACTGGTGCCGTGCTACTGGACCTGAAGCTTCCAGAAATGGGAGTCAAATAAACTTCTGTTCTCTACCAGTCACCCAGTCTCAGATAGTCTGGAACACAGGAAATGGACCAAGAAACAAAGCGAAGCAAAAACCACCCGGGTCCTAGTTTGCAGATTCCATTCTTAGTCCTGCTCCTCGCACGTGTGTGCCCACTGACATCTGAACCTTTGCTCCCACGCCCCGTGCTTGGTGTTGAGTGAATTCTAACTGTGCAGAAGAGAGCTGATGCATTTAGCTAAACAGTGAGAGGAAATGCCTTTTAAGGAGACTTAAGAGTCATACCTATATTTCATAATTTTTCACTGAAAGTTTAAAAGGGAGGATTGATCTTAGCTGGAATACCAAGCACAGAAAAAAAAATCTCAAAGCTGGGCGGGGTGGGGGGGAGAGGGAGGGAGGGGAAGGGGGAGGGAGGGAGAGAGAGAGAGAGAGAGAGAGAGATGAATGGTTATCTTAAGAGACAAGAGAAGGAGATGGAAAATCCTAAGGTAGAAAAGTAGTAATGGAACACATAAAGAATGGAAATGTTTCTAAGCAAATAATCTGTAAGCTGACTCCCAGTCTGGGCAGTTCTGATAAGAAAAGATATAAAACATAAAATTTCTGAATTTGAAAGATAGAAAAAAAGTCTGTAAGCTTCCATAAACATCTAGGTTGGTCTACCAAAAAATTTCATTGCTTTGAAATGACCACACATACACACACACAAACAACAACAAAATACACACACACACAACCCACATTGGCATCAGATTTGTCACCTAGAACCCCGGATTGTGTAAGACAGAGGAGTAACTTCTACACAGACTGAAAGAAAAGAAGTAGGTGAGAATCCTTGAGAAAGGAGAAGCATGTTATCAAGGGAAACACCATCCTAATCTAGAACAAAATGAACTACAGCAGAGAACCTCAGATGTGGGGGAGACGCAGACGCAAGAAATAGGGGGTGTGTCACAGGGCTGAGGTTGGGGAGAGGGAGGCGGGGGGGGAGAGGCAGGAACACACCACGCTGGGTCCCTGGGGGTGGGGGAGAATGGAGGGAAAGACAGGGTCCTGAATGATGAGAGCTGCATTGTTATTTTCACAAGATGAGAGAGCAGTGCAGGTTTCATTATAACCAATAGCACAAGGGCAGTGATGATTTAAGAAACTGAAAATAAACTAGGGATTCCAAAGTGAAATAATGCAATTGAATTGGATGCTTTTGCAAACTCTAAGGTTCAATCACTGTGTTGCAAACTTTATTGTGGATCTGTCATTTTCTGGCTGATTTACTAAATGGATGAAGATTACGTGATTGAACGGACATATAGTCCTGTGTCCCTTGACAACAGGGATGCAGTCTGAGACACGCACGGCGAGGTGATTCTGTCATCGTGTGACCATCACGGCGGGCACTTACACAAACTGAGACAGCTCTGATGAAGTGAGGCAATAGAGTTTTATGGGACACCCGTGGTACTCACAGCCCATCTTTCCCTGATTTGTTATTACGTGCTACCTTACTGCAAACAGCAGCCTGACAGTGTAACGTACACACACACCCACATCCCCACATACGTGGCACCTAGACAATGCATTTTGTGTCTTAAGTCATTTTTAAATGTTAACAAGGGGAAAATTACATTGCCTTAAGACTGTTAACCAATTTTTTTTTTTTTTTTTTGGTACACTTGTGGTTCTCCCCTCGTGTTTTACTGTGGAATCTGAGCGAAACATTTTCTTATCTACTTTTCAGATGCTACAGAGAAAGGTAAAAAGGAAACGTGAATGAGGTGATGTACCCAGGAGGAATTCCTGTCACATACTAAGCGCTCCGTAAAGGGGCTTATCTTGAGAGATTCTTTGAGACAGCTCCCGTAGTTTCTCTGCCTGATGTAGGAACTGCACATAGCTTGATAGCCTGCAGAGGGGACAGGTGCGCCATCCTGCAGCCTGGACTGGACACTGGGGGGCTCTCCAAGGATTCAAAGTGATGTGGCCACCACGTGGCACAGCCCAAAAGTTGACTTGTAGCAAAGCAAAATTCAAAAGCATTGATGATTTAAAAATGCTCCATTGGGGCCCGCAAGGTGGCACAGTGGGTTAAGCTGCTGCTTGGGACACTGGCAACCCCTATTGCAGTGCAGGTTCAAGTGCTGGTTCTCCAGCTTCCAGTCTGGCTGCCTGCTAACGCACCTGGGAAGGCAGTAGAAGACAGCACAGTCACCTGGGCTCCTGCCACCCACATGGAAGAACAGCTGGCTATAGCAGCCATTTAAGAATTGAATCACTGGATGAAGATCTCTCTCTGTCTCTCCCTCTATCTCCCTTTCAATTAAACAAACAAACAAATCTTTAAAACACATTAAAAGTTAGGCTTAGGGAACTTGCCCAGGGATAGAATCGTTCCCTTCATTATTCTGTTGATGCCTTGGGTTTCAGGCCCCCAAATAGCCACGTGATTCTTGTCTATGACACACGTACTCTTAACAAGTCTGGTCACTGAAGACACGGGTCCTTACTTTTTGATCAATGTATTTGTTGTCCTCGATGGCTGACCGTTTGGGGTGATCGCAGGAAGAGGAGGAGGCCGAAGGGAGGATCCGGAAGAGGCAGCAGGTATCCTGTTGCTGGCGATCGATAAACTGCTTCATAAAGCTCTCCCTTTGCGAGTGAAGCACACACACATCAGGCAGTATCAATAACAGCGACATCCTACAATGATGCGTTTGCTTGAGCTATGACACAGCAGCGACAAGAGACCACAGAGACGACTAGGGAGAGTGGTGTTCACATCCAGTTACCAGAACACTGAATTTCAAGGAAGCTTCCCGAGTCCACAGTGACTCCTGTTTAGACAAATAAATTGGTACCCCTGAAATAACTTTGATGCATTTTTAATCCGGCTGTGGTAACAAGACACTTTCCCCTGTAAGAATCAAAAGAATTAATTCCTTTCCAAATTTCCATTCATCATAAGACTCTGTGAGGGACCCTTTTATATTTCAAGGTGTCTTAAAGTGAGCTTCATCTGATCACTAAAGGATAATGAGAAGTCAAGTAACAGCCATTCAAATAACCAAATTCCATTACTTTTGCTTTTTAAAAAATCAGAAATGCAAGGATATAGCAATTTTAATTCAAATACTATGGCACTGGATTCTGTCCTGCTTTGATACCTCCTCCTAGAACTATTATAATTTTAAAATTTTATATTATGCTGACTCTATTTGTAGTTTGTTGAGTTACAAATAGAAGAATTTCCTTTAATGCTTTAAAGCATCTTCTATGTACTTGTATAACCAGAAGGCAAAGCTGTCGGAAAAATCCAACAAATATGAGCGGAAATGCCAGGAGTCTTCTGTGAGATGTGGAAGGCTCATGTCTACTGGACCTGCTCATGGCTGTCTCCAAAATACGCTGGAGTATCACAGAGACCTGGCAGGTGTGATCTCTGTATTTCATGAAAAATGCGCCCTTGCACCCTCACATGGCCTCAGGCCAGAGGCTGACCATTCCCGGGGTATTCCTGTGGCAGGAGGCACCTCTGTCCCAGGGGTACCCAGGAAGTCAAGATCCAGAGGAACCGCATTCCAGGGAGAAGCCCCACCCACCCCCAGCAGCCTTCTTTCTGGGGCTACTGCTACTGCAAAATTGTCTCTACTGGAAGGAACTGCTCCCATGATTATTAAAAGAGAGGAAGAGAGAGTAGAAATACAGGCAATACCTTCACAATGGAAACAAACCCACATGAGTTTGAAAAAAGGGCAGAATCATATCGGGATGCATAGTTTACAATACATTTCAGATATACAACTAAAGAAAACTTCAATACCTGATCTTAGGAACTGTAAAATCTGAAGGGAGCTTGGAGATTTTCACCATCTGTGGTCTGTTTGGAAATTTTTCAAAGATTCGCAGGCGCAAAGGGAGCTTCTCTTTGGTGTCTGCATTCGCTTCACTTTGCTTTAACTAAAGAAAAAACAGGAGTAAAATGGAGAAACTACATTATGGCACAAGTGATAGAAAACTCAAGCTTTAGAATTGAAGCTGACAGTGAGCAATTCCATAAAGGACCAGTGGAGGGCAGCAAAGGCCCACTAAGTACATGTCTCCTGGTGCCACGTGTGCTTGCCTTGCAAAACTTGTGAGTTATGGGGAAACAAACACAAAACCAAAACTGCCCGAAAAATGAAACCAGAAGAGAACCAAAAGTTGTAATATATTCCCAAACATAAATCTCTATTCATCCCACATATTACTTTGTATAGCTTACTATCACTTAATTTAACACTAAAACTGTTTTACACATATTTTTATGCTAGAACTAGAAATCCAAAGAATATCACCTAAAAATGTAAGCTACAGCATCCTGCCGAGTGGTGATATTTAGAAAGAGTGACTGACTGCTACCAAGAAAACTGGTCGTGTGATCTTGGCAGAGTCAAAAGAAAAGCTCAACACAGAAGCCATATATTAGGTCCATAAAGCAAGAGTGTTCTGTTTGGTTGTAAAGATGCCCGGGCATTATGAACTTGAAACGCCAGGGAGACGTGAGAAATGGGAGGCAAGTGAGTGAACTCACTGACTGGCTGCAGACCCCATATCTGCATTTCTGCAGACTGCCCCTCAGGGAGGCGGGGGCTCAGAAGGACGGAATTCCTCCCACACTCTCTCACCCTGGCCTTTCCCTTCCCCTGTAGCCTCCCTTGCAGCCCCTCCTGAACTCTGCTCTGGGACCTCTCTCCAGGCCTGCTCTGTCCCATCTTCCCATTTGCATCTCCAGTACTGATTCCCTTCCAAGAGTGCCTGGAGTGCAGGCAGCCTTCGGGGGTGTTAGGGAGGTAGCTTTCCAGGATCCTTAGCTTGGCTCATCATGCCCTTGTTGGGGCGGCTTTTATTTTGGAATTGCAATTTTTCTTGGGGTTGTGGAAAAATTTACCTGGGAAGCCAGAGAGCTTTGATAACAGGGAGAGAGGCAGCAGCCCTTCCCCTCTGTATAGAAGGCCATGAGTGCAGCACTGGGAGGCATCCCAACTCCCATACAGTCCAGCTGGGTCGGGGGGTCATGGGGAGAGTCTACACCTCGATTTCTGGGTTTCTCATCGGGTAGTAGAAATTGCTCTGACATTCTGTGCTGTATGACATGAATATTTTACAGTAGCCCTTAGCTGCCTTTATGAGATGGGCGGCTTCTGGCTTTCTTAGAGAATAATCTAATTTAGAGGAGGAAGCGGTCTGTTCACTGCCTTCCTCCCTCCTGGATGTGTGCACAATGGCCGTTCCCCATTATCTGATGAGAATCAGGACAACGACCACGATCAAAACTTAGGTCCCAATGTCACAAAACCACTAGCTCCTCCAAAAGATGTGGCCATCAGAAAAATGACTTCACACGCAAGCAGAGAGGTTTACGAGACTTGTCCTCTCAAAGCTCATTGATACAAGTACAACAATCTTTGGCAGTGGTAAGTAGAACATGCAGGAAAAGAAATCAGTTAACCTAAGGCACACTAGAAATTAAGGCAATTTGCTCTCTCAGGCCAAACCCAGCATGATAAGATGGAGCAGAAATAAGTATGTGTTAATTCACGCATTTGTCCAGTCATTTGTTTGTACATCAACACTGTCATTTTTTTTTTTTTTGACAGGCAGAGTTAGACAGTGAGGGAGAGAGAGACAGAAAGGTCTTCCTTTTTCCGTTGGTTCACCCCCTAAATGGTTGCTATGGCTGGCGCGCTGCGCTGATCTGAAGCCAGGAGCCAGGTGCTTCTCCTGGTCTCCCATGGGGTGCAGGGCCCAAGCACTTGGGCCATCCTCCACTGCACTCCCGGGCCATAGCAGAGAGCTGGACAGGAAGAGGGGCAACCGGGACAGAATCCGGCGCCCCAACCGGGACTAGAACCCGGTGTGCCGGTGCCGCAGGTGGAGGATTAGCCAAGTGAGCCGTGGTGCCAGCCAACAATGTCATTTATAAATCCAACCCCATACACCAGGTTCCTAGCTCAGTTCTGGGAAAAAGAAAATAAGTTGCTGTATTGTAGCCAAGCAGATGGTTCTAGAAACAGACGATGATGATAAAATGCTATGCCTGCTCTGGCCGAGGCAGAAACAGAGTGCTTGGGAACGCAGAGCAAGGGGCGAAGGGAGAAAACGAAGGCGCACTTCTCCAGGAGCTTTCTGGAGCAGCTGAATGGCTACGCGTGGCAATGATAGGGACCTGAGGATTCTCGACGCGCCAGGACTGGCTCGCAGATTTTATGAGAATCCGATGACTTTAGACAGACACCAAGGGCCAGAGGGACATGGCACAAAATGACAAGACGGAGCTCTTTCCTGATCACCTCTTGGTCTCCTGAGGGGCCATCTCCCAGCAGTGCCTCCCTAGGCCAAGACACCACCCAGCCTTCTGCACCTGTTCCATTCTCCCCATCTGTTTGGGTGCCTTGCAGTCTGTTCTCCATCCCATGTTGTTACAGCAATCCAGCTTTCTGGAATAAAATCCTTCCGTGGAATGCTACTCCTCTTAAAATCTGAAATGGGCAGCCTGGACGCCACAGCCTGGTTGTGTCCAGCCTCAGCTTGCCAACGCCTCTGCCGTGCTCCAGATCCTCTGCCTCAGGACCTTTGCACCTGCTGTGCCCTCTGCGGGGGACCCTTCTCCTTCCCTCTTGAGCTTCACTAGCTTCTACTTGCTCTCCAGATTCCAGTTCCACCCACAACTCCTCAGAGCAGGCTTCTCTGAACAACAAGGTCTTCCTCTTACACGTTCGTGACAAGTGAGGGTGAACCATACCCTACTGCTGTCTACGTGGGTCAGAGCAGTGAGTGGGCAATTTCTTCAGCTCGACCTAACATAAATTGTATTAGATTCCTATGACTGCTGCAGCGGATGACTACAAGATTTGCAGCTCAAAACTAGGGAAATGTGTTCTTGTAGCTTTCTGCAGGCTGGAAGTCCAAAGCCCAGGTGTCGGCAGAATCCCTCCTGGCCTGTTCCTGGCTCCGGGAGTCCTTGACTTGCAGCTCTGCCCCTCTGGCTCTATCTCCGTTTTATGGCCTCTTCCCTGGGTGTTTCTGTGCCTTTGTAGCTGAATTTCTTCTTCTTTTTTTTTTTATAAAGACATCAGTTATTGGATTTAGGACCTGTCCCCAACCCAGGATAATTAACTGGTCACCTCTGCAAAGACCTAATTTCCAAAAGTCTCTTGAAGAGGTTCTGGCTCATGAATTTGACGGACTCTATTAATGCCATCACACACATCAGCATTTGAAATGGTATGTCATACATCCCTTTTCCCTAAGACTAGAAATCTCTGTGAGGGTTGAGACTGTGTGGGATTTTATTCAACATCCCATAGCCAGTAGCTGGCACAATACTTTGAGTCAATACAAAGGAAGCTAAGAAAATGTTTGTTGAGTCATTGTGTGAATCAGGTGGCAGAACTAAACTCTTTAGCAGACAACTGGAAAATTAAAGAGAATTTAGGTATATCCTGAAAGGTAGAGAGATAAGCATAAAACATCGACTGACTGATGGCATAAGTGTTGGATGTGGACTTCTGGTGCTCACAGACTCACAGAATGGAATAAATCACTCTTGCGACACACCTGAACCAACGTGTGTTGCTCATGAACTGATGACTCGGCAGACTAAGTTGAGATGGTGTAAAATTTTGTAAAGGGACATTTCAGGATGTGGTAAATTATATTTCATCAATTATCACATAATGTAATATCTAGCATATATAGGCTTAGTGATATTAAATAATCACCTTGTTTACATGTGTTCAAAATTATATATTTTTTAATTTATTTGAGAGAGAGAAAGAGAGAGAACACAAATGAACAAATAAGCTCTCATGTGCTGATTCACACCCTAAATGTCCACAACAGGCAAGGGAGGCTGAGTGAGGCTAAAGCCAGAGGCTTGGAACTCATCTTGGTTTCCCGTGTAGGTAGCAGACAAGTCTCTGAGCCATCACCTGGTTTTGCAGGGTGTGCTTTAGCTGGAAGGTGGACTTGGGAGAAGCCTGCACTTGACCTCAAATGTCCACTATGGGATGTGGGCAGCCCAAGTAGCATCTGAACTACCAGGTCAAATGCTCGCCCCTGCTTACAGGGATTTAAGTGGAGCTTATTCCACTTGTATTAGCGATATTGACACTCCTCAAAGCTAGGAAGCCCCCTGGTGGCGAGATTCCATGTTACATGCCCTTTCACGGCACCTTTCAGGGAGAAGAATTGTAATAAAGGTTCGTGAGTCACTTAGATCTCACCAGTGAGCCATCGTGCTGTAAAACGCCCAGGAGCAAATGAGGAGCTCTTTCTAATGACTCAGGAGGTTCCTCCTGCTGGTTCACTTGATTCATTCCCAAAAAGACCGCAATGGCCAACGCTGGACCAAGCTGAAGCCAGGAGTTGGACCCCACCCAAGTTTCCCACATGGGAGGCAGGGGCCCAAACATTTGGGCCATCCTCTGCTCCCTTCCCAGGCACATTAGCAGAGAGAGAGCTGGATCAGAAGCAGAGAGGCCAGGACTCAAACCATGCTGGTGTGGGGTACCTGTGTCACAAGTGGTGGCTTAACCCAGTGTGCCACAATGCTGACCCCTGGAGGGGCTTCCTACTGCAGAGCTCACAGAGAGGCAGCATCAAGTCACACACTCGGGGCCCTGCAAATCCTCCCTGCAGTACACACCTCCCCAGAATGGGTGATACCCACACTACAGCCAAGCCCTCGCATGCCCAGAGTAGCACCACTGGAAAGAGGACCAAACTGGAAACCATCCAAGCACCCATCAGCAGCGGCTTATTTAAAGATTCAAGCGAGTTAACTACAAGTCAACAAGGGATGCAGGTAAAATTCACAACATGACTTTGAGTGGAGGAAGCTGCACAGAACACAATGGTACTGCAGTGTACTGGGAGGTTCCACTGATCTTAAGCAAAATGCACCAACACTGGTCTAT